CGATTGCCTTTGTTTACATTGGATTGTATCTTGATGCCCTCAGGCAAAACTAAACCGCGATTGTTTTTTCTTCTTTTGTCCATCTCATCTGCAATATTATCGCCAGTTTTATCATCCAGAGCTCATTTGATGTTCATCAAGTTAAATGCAACACGTGATTCATTCACCTTTGAATAACAATTTATATTGATTGACATTCTATTCAAAATTATCTCGACCTTAATCACTATTACTTTTTAACAGTTACTTTTTTCTCGATACCAATTCTGTAGTTTTCCATCTTGCTTATTATTATTAGAAATAATTATGTAATTAATCATTTTAATTTCATGTAAATAGTTGTAACAAGTTGTAATTAATTAATTAAACTTTATTATGTAAAGAAATATTAAACTTTTATCATGAAATTAATTAAATTCATTTATTCTGAATTTCACAAATCATGTGACACATAATTCGTCAAGATATTCCGACTAATACAAAGCACAATGAATTAATTTGATACATAAATTGTGAGCTTAAATGATCACATTTACAAGCACCTTCGACCTTTAATTGCTGTAAACAAAGTCCATGTAGATGATGACGATGACCTTTTGCTTGAGTACCACTCAGGTCAAGTGAAAAAGAAAATAACTGAAGAAAATGATTCTGCTATTTTATTTGTAAGAATATTCATCAGCAGGATAACGTTTATTTAAAAGCAGAAAATGATAATAACTATTATATAATAATTTCATGTCAAAAAGAAGAAAAAAAAACGGAAAAAGTTTAATGAAAAAAGAAAAAAAAAACTTGAAAAGGATTAATAGAGACGCGATTTATAATGAAATCGTTAGTGAGATACGTGAAGTTACCTGTTAATCTGAAATAAATGTGACGTTCCAACGTTTTTCAGATCAATACAAGTTTATCTCTTTTCTGATTTAACTATTTATAAGAAAGATATTAATTATCATTTCAAGTCTGGTCTAAGTTTATCATTTTGGAAACTGTAAAATGAATCACGATTTGGATATGATGGATTAAGATTAATACTAATCATGTTTACCTTTTTGGTTTTTCATTTGCTTTTGACACTTTAATAGTGATGATTAAACTAGTAACTCTTTGAGTTGATGATGATGAGCAAATTGTCACAATAACATGTTATTTATAATCATTCAAGTTCCAGAATCGAAACAGTTTCTATTGGGATAATTACTGATATTGGATCACGTATATTCATCATTATCATTATTGTTAGTTGCAGATATCTAATAGTTGGACTCAAGAGTAATATTAGATTAGGGAAAAGTTTGATTGAAACTGGAAAAGTCTCATTTTGTTCATGGAAATCATTTAACCTCATTGTATTCGTGTATTCCAATCGTATCATAAATTTTTCTCAACTCATATCAACATATTCCAGGCTCTCAACATCCATATGTCCTCTTCCTTTTCTTCCTCAGCGATGAACAGGATAATCTTCGACTTTTCTTTATTTCTTTTCACCAAACGTGACAATAAATTAGACTCTTTTCTTAATCTTCTCCATCATCTTGGTGGTTTCACGCTTTTCGAAACAAAATTTGCTTTTCCTTTCCTCTTCTGGTTAGAAATCGGTGATCGCTTAAATCGGGTTTCCTCTTAGTAGAAAATCATCAATCTCTTTTCTCGTTACCTTTTATCTGTTTATCGAAACAATTTCGCTTTTCAGCCTTGTAATCTAACATGTATTCTTTTCCCTTCTTCCTTTTTGGTTCGCTCAATGATGACGATCATGATTCCTCATCTTCCTCCTACACTTGCCATTAATATATTCACAATGGAAGTATTAATAATAATATAATAATAATATGATAAAGTCGATTGTGGCTATTTGCTGGAAAAAGAATATACCCAAATAACCGTAAATAGTGTTAATAATTTCTCTTCTTTTCTCTTCTTTTATTCTCATCATCATCTTTGACTTGTTCCCATCATCGAAAAAGAGTAAACACTTAAGAGTAAGAGATCTGATGATGATGATGATGATGGAGTTTATATGAGTCCCTTGAGTTATTGAGCTTGACCACTGGTCACCGAGCAAGGGATTCAACAGGCTAATCTGATTATTGTTTTATTAACATTATCTATTATAACAAAAGCCACGTTCAAATTTTGATTATCTGCTATTATCGTCATTCCATCTCAGTCAATAATCATCAACTTAATGATAAGATGAAAATAAATAAAATCAGTTAAATGAAACAGTTAAGGTGGACAAATAGATGAATCATTGCAATTAAACATGTCGGTAATTATCTGGACGAAGAAACTAAACAAAAAAACGAGAATTGTCTTGCTAATCGTGTTCAGAATTTCAATGAAAAGTCTCGAGAATATTTCATTTCCGTTTTTACATCACCTTCAATTCATTCATCCAAATAATCTCAGCTCCCTTGTATCCTACTCTCTCATCTTTCCTTCTTACTTTACTCTCATGAACCAAAAACATACATCAGCTCAGCATTAAACTCTCCTTCATCATCTAATCATCATAATGATAATTATCAATTTCCCCATGAAAAGTGGCTCCCTCTCAGGTTATTCCTTATTATTCATGTGCATTACATCATCTCTCTCAGAATTGATCGGAGCTCATTCATTTACTCCTTTGCCTGGACTTGTAATAATAAATTTATTATCTAAACGAGGAACCATTTTCCGGAAATAACATCATTTACACTTCCATTTAACAGGAAAAACTAAAAAGTGAATCAATTTCATCACATTGTAACAACATTAATACACTAGAGTCGAGGTTCACCTTTAATTGTTGTTTATATCATTTTATTCATTGAGAGACGTGATTTACTATTCCCTAAATAATATTGATTATCATTTGGCATCTTGCTAATAGTTATGAGGAAAAATTTAGAATCAAATTTTACTTTTATTATTATTAATAATAATCGAAATTGGAAAAATAAAAAGTCGAATCCATTACGTAAATGAAAGTTTTTCATTCCATTTTCAACTTGAAATCGTACAGTTAATTAGTGTCGTTCTTATGCTGATTCTGCTTATAAATGAATCTATGAAACTGGTACCATGATGATGAGCGATATCATTTCCTCTTGTGAATCCATCTGATGATAACTTCTGCTGACTGAGTGAACCTGCATCATTATTATCTCATCATCTACACAACACATAAGGTAAGGTTAAGGACCGTTCAAGGTAAATCACAAATAAAGTTTAGCAAACGTGCCAACGTAAAGGTAACCGTATTCATATCAGAATAATACATGGTAATTTCGTCGATAGAATCAACATTAATTTAATCATAAATTGTCTGTTTTATGTTTTGTACTTAATTGCAGCAAATGCTTCATGCTGAGTTAGTCAGGGTGAGATTGTAAAAACGATTTGGTAACGAAACTTTATTGACATCGTTAGGACAAGACGATGATGATAAAGAGGATGATTAAAATGATAATCCAGCACCCATCTGGTTTTGTTTGCTTAACATTGATTAATATTGCATCAGAATTGAGTTATATCAATCAATCAGTTGGTTATTTATGGAAATTACTTGAAGCCGTTCATCATGATTTTCTTGATCATCATCATCAAACTAACGGTAATAAAATTAAATGATTTATCCCAAAAATCATCTCTGAATTTTATCTCTGATTAAAGAGTAACTATGGGCCTCTTTTCCTCTTCATCATCATCTTTCATCATCATCATTATCTCTATCATCATCTTCTCATCTTTTTCCATTCTTCAAACTTCTTCACTCTCTTCTAATCAACCTTTCATCTTCTCTTCTTCATCATCAGTATCATTTTGATGATAATCTTTTCTCGTTACTTTCATCATCTCCATGTAGCCCATGAAAAGAAGCATCTTGATGGAATCAAATCAATTTAAATCTCAGTAGCCTCACATTCATATTATAATAGATGATCAACTTTTCGTTATTTCATTTCTTCCTCTTGTCACTTTTCTCTCAAGATGATCAGATAATCAGGCGAAAGATGAACCAGATCAGTTTGGAAAAGTTTGGCGTGGAGTCGAAGATTAAGATGCACTGTAATTGAAAAGAAACTTTTCCATAATAGAATTTAAATTATTGATTAATATTTCTAATAACTGTTTCTCTGCGAAATTCAGGTTTAGATATGGTTACAACGAGAAGGGAACATGTAATTTAGTTGATTTTCACTTCATCTTTTTCTTCATCATGATGATCGGACGAATAGAAACTTAAGAATAAAAAAGTTGAACAAAAAGTTAATTAATTATCTTTAAGATGTTGTCTACATTATCTTACCTTTTACTATCAAATACAAGCCTCCTCATTTCATTACCTTTCAAAGGTAACTCTATACTCGATTCATCCTTCTCATCATCATTATTATTACATGTATCATCATTTTCTTTACTTCTTTTAATCTTTTCTCTCATTTTCTTACATTGAATTTTTTTCACTAAGAGAAGTAAAATAAAAAAGGTAAACCTTATGAACGTACCTGGATTAAGGTGGAATTTAGCCTGAAGCATTTTACAGAATCAACCGAATGAAAGGAGATGAAAAAAAAACAATAAGAAACGTTGAATAGGGACGAAATGATGTTCCTTACTTGAGTTCTAAATTTCGGCAATTTTCCAACATGGAATGAATTCTCTTCATGGTAATAATATTGTTAATCCATTTCATGTAATCGCATAAAAATAGTACCCACACACGCATATTGTTCATCTTTTAGGCTCTTTCATTGTTTAGATGAATGGATTTGCATGATACAATTTTTCGACCATCCGATTTACGCCCCAGTGTAAAGGTGAAGCACCTCGCTCATCTCTTTCTACAAAGCTCAATTTGATTCTAAGCTTAGATCTAAACTAAGCTTTCAGAGTGGGAGACGAGAGCAAAGATGCTGAAAAATAATATGGAATACGAAATTTTCATTCCTTGAGGGTGAAAATAAAGGTAAGATAAGGGAGTGTGGGTAGTGTAATGAGTGAGAAAGAAAGAGAAAGAGAGAGAGAGAGAGAGAGAGAGAGAGAGAGAGAGAGACCGAATTGGTTAAGTAAAGAGTAGGATAGGCTCAAATTGTTCCCTTCATTTATATGATATTTCATTTTTTCCATGACACGCCTAAGGATGATTTCTTTTAATTAGTGGTCAACATGGTACACATGTTATTCCAGGACAAGCCTTGGTGTTAGGACGATCCTCGATATTGATGATGATGCAAAAAAGTATCGCAAGGCTTCCTGATGAATGGAAACTTGGAGGATTAGATTAATTGAGATTAAAAAGTAACAATAATAAACAATTGGATTATCGGTAACAAAATGAGTTCGATTAAATCACTTTAATGTGAACGGTAATCGCATCTCGTTGAACAAACAGCATCGAGATAATATTGATTGTTAATCATAATCTCTTACAGATTTTCGATCAGATAAGTTGATTTATCTTTTCATCATCATAATGATTAATCATTATCGCTTCTGTTGGGAAGAGAATCAAAATGTTTCATTAAATCAGAAACGATGAAAGAAACTCTTAAATATCCTGAGATTTAATCTCAATAACAACATTACCTGAACATCTGATTTCCTCTCAACTAAATATTATTTTCGGTCAAGTTAAGATGATTAGCACTCCATTAATTTGATCCCTTGCTCAGCGATTTCAGGGGATTTAGTTAATGACTGTAAACATTGGTTACCTTAGGAACAGAGTAAAAGTGTAAGAGTAATGAAATCTATTAGTTAATTAATTAATTATTCAAATTACATTTTATATTCAATTAGGCAACAATGTTGATAGTTTGTAGTAGCTGAGTGTCAATGAATTTTGATTGATTTGAAATTAGATTGTATCGTAATGAATGATCAATAACTTGTCACTTATAAAAATTGAAACAATCTAAAAGTTAATAGTAATTGACAGAAAGTAATGATGATCATTATCAAGATAATGAAGAAGATGAAATGAAGCTTAAATCAATTTTGGTCTAACCAAAAGTGTAAATATTATAGCAGATCATTTATAGAGAGAGAGAGAGAGAGAGAGAGAGAGAGAGAGAGAGAGAGAGAGAGAGAGAGAGAGAGAGTTAAGAGTCGAGTGGTGATGATGATGAAGATGGAGCGTGGTCAAGAATATGATGAATAGTCTTTCGAAGGGAATCAGTTTTGTTGATAGATTTCCGGTTTATTCTCACCCATCATTTAAAACAACTTAAAGAGAATCAACTTTCATCTTTTATTTTTCTTCTATTCGAATATTCTCTTCAACTTCCTTTCTTCTTCTTCTTCTTCTTCTTCTTCTTCTCTCTCTCTTTCTCTTTTTGCTATTTGATATTTTTTATATATTTTATTCTCCCAACACCAAGGACTCCGCATCCTCATCCTCAACTCAATCATGTGATTGATCATCTTCATCATTTTATATCTTTCTCATCGAGTGGAGGGGGAGTTGAGGAAACAGAGAAACTTATAAAAGGGACCATTATCTTAGATAAAAATGGTAATGAAGTTTCATGTTATACTTTTTACTTTATTGTTCATCTTCATCATTTTCTGGCTCTTCAAGTAAATTTCTGATCTTTCATATCCAATCCACTGTTTGTTTCGCAAAGAAAAAGTCACTGTCTCCCTATTCTCTTTTCCTCATCCTTATTCTCTCTCTCTCTCTCTCTCTTTTCTGCTCATCTGATGTCACCTTCTGCTCTCACCACAGGCTTTCACAGTATAAATATCGCCCATCCTTTGGTATAAATCACATTAGACTATCTTCATACTTTTCTCCCTTTTCTTCCTCATCTTTCATCCCTTATCTCTCATCTCTCAGCTCTTTTATCTTCACCATCTTCTCACTTCTGCAATGACAAAGACAGTTCCTAGTTGATATAATAGGTGAAGATGATAAAATAAAGTCTCAATAAATATGAGAAACGATCTTAACAACTTATTAATCCTTTTCAATTCTGATTTATTACTTGAAACGCTTTAAAAAGTATCATCCTTGTCTTCTTTCTCACCTTTATCTCTCTCTCTCTCTCTCTCTCTCTTTATCATAATCTCCATCGTCATAGTTGATCCATTCAGACCCTGGACTTTATTTTATTCATAATCTTCATTTTCAGTTTCGTGTCTCTCTCTCTATATAAATAAGGAAGATCAAGATAATTGAGTCTCTCAATTCCAACAGTAGATTCGTTTGAAAATTTAAATAAAAAACTGGTGATGATTAAAGATAAATTATCGAAAATTGGACAATTAAATATTAGATATAAAAGAAATTCGATCTACTTATTGAAAGAATCTCAAAGTTGTAACTGTTTGTTTCGCAAAATTTCATTGATTTGTCAAAATTGGATAATGAATTGGATTAAATTATGAACAAAAGTTGATTGAGATTCGGAGCATCGGAGTTCGGGTTGATTGTTAGTAGTTTGATTATAATTAATGGTTCGTATTCATCAGTTTAAATGATTATTTTGTCAAATTTCATTCAACTTATTCCCTTGTTTCCTTGACAACTTTACTTTCTTTTCAACTATTACCTTGAAATTAATTGTTATTCAGACCAAGTCCTCAAAAGTTTTCAAGGTTGAATGTTGTCAACATCAATGTCTCATGTAACTTGTCTGTTTCGCTGTGAGAGAGTCATTATATCAAGGAAGTTGATCTCACTTTTTCTTTCAACAAACAAACATTCAACTTAAGTGATGATAAAAAGGAATTAATATAAATAATATTTTCATTTACCTTTATCATCTTGAGAAAGTGAGACACAACATCTTTTCATTTGATCCTTAAGATTATGAGGATGATCAGAATCTTCAGATAACCTATAAAAATGAAGAAATTTGGAGCAGTTTCTAAGAAAATTCTGTGGAAAAAGGAAACCAAGATAAGTCGCAACTTCATGTTGCAGATTCGCTTTAAAATTGCGATGATATTGAGTTTTAACGTTTCATGGGAGAGGTAAAAGGTCAACTTAATGGGAGATTGGTTTCTGGCAAATAGGTGGAAGGGAATGTTGAAGATGAAGTTATTGAAGATGATGATGTTCATGATGAAATGGAAGTCTACCTATAGAGAAAATGATTTTCTCTTCTTCTTTTTTTTGCAATTGAATCGAAGATGATGAAAATGATGAACATGAAAAGAAGATGAAGTTGCCAATCAATATTAGATAGATTTCATCCTATAGAGTATACAAATTCATCTGCATCCTCTCAATGATGGAAGCTACAATTGAAGAGTTAGAAAAACTGAAAATAAGAAGCTACTTTTATCTGAGCCACAGAAAATTGTAATCAGTTTGAATTAACTTCTGATTTAGACTACATGAGATGAACAGAATTTTTTTTCTTCCTAAAACTTGATTAGATAATCTCAACTCCAAGTTTGATTTTCAATACGAAAAATTGTTAACAGTTTCCTTCTAATATTTGGAGAGATTTACTCGGTGTTTGTCTTTCATTTATCCTGATTCTCGAGTAATCAGAAGAGATATAATCAGAATCTCTCAGGACGAATTCTCTATGATTAAAAGGGTGAAAGAGCATCCGAGCGATCGACGCTGACTCGAAACTCGACTGAAAAAACATGAAAAAATTTAAAAACGAACATTTTTGTTCTGAATGATTCCAATTCTTGACATTGCAAATTCTTATCCCATTTTTCTGAAAACACAGAATTTTCTTTCTTTACATTTGGAAAAAAAAACTTGGGACTTTGCATGTTGGAATTTATATCATCGAAATCATTCATAAAACAACAATGAACTTCAGAAACACTGATTTGCAGCATTATCATTAAAATGAATATCATTTAAATATCGATTATCTCTCGAGTTTGAAAATAATTCTTATGATTACTAACAAGAAAACCCTTCGCAATGAGCTAATATTGGTTAATTCAACACGAGGCAAATCTCAGAGATTAATCTAAACTTAATCTTCTGTTTGTTAATCCAACAATTATATTATCTGTATACTAGAAAAAAAAAAAAAACTGACGGTTACTTAAACATTTGATACAAAACTGAGTTTTCATATTGAAGTGAGTATATCAAGTTGTGTGTGTGTACTGATAGTGTATTTAAATGAGGAATCAACAATTAAAAGATCTTGATTAGAAAATTAAGTGAAAATTTATGCACCAAAGCATTTTGATAAGCCACTTTCATCATGATTCTTAATCTCTTAATGAGTCAACCAGATCCTTTTCATGTCTTTTAATTAATTTTCGTTAAATATTCTATTGTTTTTGCTTCTTATTTTTGCCTCGTATCTCATCTGATTCATTGAAAGACTAAAAGTAAATAAAGAATTGGGAAGACTAGACAAGGATTAAGAGATGATAATATTTTAAACCAAATGCTGTGGGCAATTGATGCGATCTCATCATCAATAAATATTAAACAATTAACATGCAACTATTAATTATTCAATATTGAGAAACTGCCATCAGATTTGCTTTAATTTGCTTGATTAGACTTTTAGAGATTCGATAATTAGTTGTGTTATCACGTTCCAACACGAATCACCAGAGATTAATTCTGTTTGAATAGGCCAATCACTCTTTTAGTTTTAATTCATTAATCTTAATCTTCATTAATGAAAATTTCAGTTGAAATAGTTTTTCATTCATCTTTTTTTTTCATTCACTTTTTGTTGATTGTCCGATTCTCATTCACTACTATTTTTGACATTTCAGATTGAAATCTTATCAAAAGGATTAACGAGATTGTCACTTGATCTTTCAACCATATGATCATCTAATCATGACAATTAACACTGATATTAACAATAAACTTTGGTTTAATCTCAAATGGATTTGGATCATATTAATTTGCATCATTTTTTAATTGATTTTTTAATCAATTATTCAACTAAATTAACAAGTTTTGCCAGTTGATCCACTCAACAGATTATAATAATCAATTATCCAGGCTCATTTACTAATATAATATTAATACTCTCAACAAACTAATTAAATAATAAAGTTGATTAGAGGAAAAGAAGATGCATAACTTTAATTACTATTCTTATGGTTAATGATAAGAAGTAATTAGTCTCACTAATCTAACGATGTGTTAATCACTTTAAATTATTTATTATTGATTAATAATTCGAGTATCATCAACAATTGGCAATAAAAGTTAATCGAGAGTAACAGGTAATTTTTGAGTAGAAAACCACAAAACAATTGGCTTAATTGTTAACCTTTCATGGGGCTGATTTGATTGAATTGATTTCCAGTTTCACTTTATCAGCATCGGAAAGATTATCGGGTTGATGAGTAGGGAGCAAGAGAGGTAAAATTTGAGTGAGTATTCAGATGACAATGATGAGAAAAATATAATGATAATATGCAAATGATGAAATTGCAAGTTGACATAATTTGGATTCCTATTTCAATTCATTTCTAATTCAATATGATAAATTTGGGAGATAAGATTCTGTTCATCCTGCTTTTCAGATGATGATAGTTATTATTGAATAAATATCATAATAGAAAAGCCAAAGGATTGGATTGACAATCAGAATAAACAAACAAATGAATGAGAGATTGATGAAACTCTATGGACTCAATTTGAGTAATGAGAAAAAGACAAAAACTGAAATTCAAATTTTGTTGATTACTCGCAATAGAAAATGATCCAAATGAAATCTAAATCAGTTCGCAGAAAAGGATTGAAGAAAATCTTCATCAGTAATCTGATTATTAAATCGAAAAATGTTCCAGGTAAGATAAGAATCTCTGTTCTTCCAACTACTTAGATGAATATAAAAGCTCTTTTTCATCTTATTGTTATTTATAGACCTTTTTTCGAGTGATCATGAAACTGATAACCACCTTTAGGAATACACAGGGTAGAGCGAGATTTGTGTAACCCTCAATTACAATATGAAAGTCTCAGAATGATGGAAATGGTGAAGATAAAAACAAAAACATGAACCCTGATCCTTTTTTCTCATGGCCCATGGATCATTGGAATATGCATCTTCATCATTAATATGATCCGCATCTTTCTCCATCTCCATCTTCATCCTTTACTCCATCTCACTTTCACTCTTGTTAGCAACCCTTTTTTACTTCATCATCTCTCTCTCTCTCTCTCTCTCTCTCTCTCTCTCTCTCTCTCTCTCTCTGCCCTTTCACCCTTCCAATTCATTTTCAATGCATAACCTCATACTTATACTTAGGCATCGTTATTATTGAAAATACTAAGAAGATTGAAAGGAGATGGATAAAAGGGGAGTGGAAAAAAGATGCAAAGAAGATGATGATGAAGAATAAGCATAAAAAAGAAAAATAATATGCAAATTTAGAGAACATCTCATAGCATATAACCTTCTATTCTTCTTATTTTCATTTCTTATTCTGTCTTCTTTATCTACTTGTTATTTTCATGTGTGTTCACTCACATACTATTCCCTGTTTGTTTTGTATCCCTGTTCCATCTTCATTTTCATCCTCATCTTCATCATCAACATCATCCCTATAGCTTCTTATTCTTTTTTTCTTCCGGTTCTATTCCTTTTCTACTTCTTTTTCTTCAATCATCATTTTGTTTACGTTTGCTTTTTCTGCTTCTACATCATCATCATTCTGATTTTCTCTCATACCTTTCGCCCAAACTAAGCATCAGTTTATTCCTGTTTGTTTACTGTGCGATTCCTTGTTAGTTTTATCTCCATCCTCATCATTTCTTTAGATGAGTTTATCATCCCTTTTCTGATGACAATACATTCAACACAAACTTATCAACACGAGAAAAAATCAATGAGCTAAAAATTATCTTTACGAATACGCTAATTATTAAGATAAACATAAAAAGTAATGAAAACGATTAAGACTAAGTATTGGATTAGGCGAAATTATTAACTTTCAATGAACATAATATATGTACTTAATTTCAACTGAGGAAATATGAATCTAATAACAATTCAATTTGAGCAGGAAAATGTGAATAATGAATATCTGAGTTGATCTGCTCTCATTTCCGATTAAGAGGAAGAAATGAAATAATTGAAAAAGTCTCTGTAATCAAGACTCATGATGACATTTGGTTAATTGAGCTAATGAATATTGATCAACAATAAAATTGAATGTTTCCGGTTTGGGCAATTTCATGTTATTAATAAATTTTGTTGATATATTTCATGATAACCTGATCGATATAACAATTAATTGAGTTTTCAAACATTAGCTTGTAAATATTGTTACAAGTTAATCAAATTTATTTACACGCTGAAAATGAATGAAAAAGTTTAACCAACGTGAATATTTGAATTTAATATTATGAAGATGAAGTTAAGATGAGGATTGATGATGATCATTATTAACATACCATCAGTTGCAGTTTAATTTGATAAATATTAATATTCTGTTAATCAAGTTTACCTTTAATTAACAATCTTAATCATATTACAATCAGATAAATTATCTTCCATCAACATATTCTGATTATCACTCACTCCTGTTTATTTATTTGAATATCTTTCTAATGATCATCATTAACATACCCAATTAATTGATCACTTTCAATTTATTATTAACCAACACCAAGATTGTTAACAGTAATATTATCTTATATTTACTTGTGATGTTGATACTAAGATGCTGATCAAATATTATATCGCAAGACAAACAATAAATATCATGATATTAAATCATCATGTAGACTTGTTGATTCATTGAATCTGATGAGTTCGTAATGATTTTGCTTTTATTTTTATATTAATTCGTTAATATCAACAAAAAGATTGAGTAAAAGGTAAGAAAATCTTTCATGAACCGAGCATTTCATCTTGATGATGACCATTATCTTTATCATTACGAGTCCCATGTGATCTGAAATGGTCAACAGATGAGATTGAATGTAAAGTAAGAAGAAGAAAAAAATGAAAGTTAAATGGAAACAAAATCAATTTGGCAAAATATCTGCATCATTTCCCTTAAGTGAATGATTCCTATTGAAGACGAAGATGATTTTGTTTATCG